ACCCGGTCACCGGTCGATGTGTGTGTGCCCCTGGACGCAGAGGAGAGGACTGTGGAAATGGTGAGCTTTCATTATTGCTGAGCTGTGAGCTAGATCTCTGGAAACAGGCCCTCTGTTGATTTCAAACTCTTCTTTTATGTTTCCATTCATGTAATAAGGGCTGTGTAAGTATTATATCATATATCCAGCTGTAAATAGTACTAGGACAATAGAGGGTGGATAAGTTGTCTATATAGAAAAGGCACCCTAGAAAGGCTGAGTCACTCTGAAAGACTATTAGTATATTTCATCATCTACAGTACATAATTTAATGAATAGAAAACTTGAAGTCTGTAAATAAAAGACAAGGCTGAATGGCGTAATCTTCTGAGGTGGCACCACTTTTAAACAGTGCACAGGAACAACACTGGCGTTCACTCTGCTAGACCTCATTGAATGTGTGGGGTTACGTGGGGGGGCTTTAGTACACATAGCATGGGATGATGTCTCTTTCAACGAAGGCTCTGCTTATTTCAGCAACACACTGACGGACTCCATTCTTCACTTATTACAGGAGCATGAATCCACAGTAAGAGACTGGGTGCTAACCTGGCCCTCCCACAGTCCACACCATTGAAAACATTATGAGATGAAAATACAACAGGAGGCTCCAGATTACTGTTTACCTGTAATCCTTTATAATGAGCAAGAATAGAAGACTGTGCTTTCAGAGCTACAGCATGTTATGACACTTGCCTGGATATTTTCTTAAGTTTAATTGGAGTGTGTGTTTGGCCTCAGGCTGCCCTGCAGGCTGGTTTGGGGAAGAATGTGCTCAACGCTGTAACTGCAGTAATGGAGGTGTGTGCGACTCTGTGACCGGCAACTGTACCTGTGGTCTGGGCTGGACTGGTGCACACTGCCACAAAGGTGATCGCCTACTCTTTTAAAAAAAAAAACCCATCAAAATATTGCATTTATTGCATCTGTCCATTACCACATATTTGATCTGTTGTAACATGTTGAATCTAAACATAATCAGGTGTCACAGCGAATCATGTCCTCTGTTTTATCCTTCCTGTCCCAGAATGTCCCGCGGGAAGATTTGGTGCCAACTGCCAGCTGAAATGTAGCTGTCAAAATAATGGCACTTGTGACAGAGTGACGGGGACGTGTCAGTGCGGTCCAGGCTACTATGGGCATCTATGTGAACATGGTGAGAACTGAACACGCACACAAACACAAAGAATGACCTCCGTTGTTGTCCAAAAACACATCAGTAAGTCATGTAGTTGCACAACATGTTGTATTTTTTTTTAAATATCTTGTGTTCACGGTTGCTGAAGTTTTGAATGAAGTCAAGGCTGTGTGAGAGATTGCAGTACATGTAGTGAAGAAGAATGTACACATGAAGCACCTCAGTAGTATTTAAGGTCCTGATGGGATCATTCATGCCGATGCACAGATGTCACAGTAGAAGAAGTCTTTGTAAAATCCTGAAATTTAACTTGTATTTATCTGAACACACTGAACATCAAAAGGCTTAGAAGGTTTATATTTCGATCAAATCAGCCCAGCATTTGTACTCTAACCTTAAAGCGCCACTTTAAAGGTGTCAGATTTGAGCCCTTAAGTTTACAGTCATTTATTAATTAATGCACAGGATTTAAACGTTAAAGGTCAACTTTTATTCTCCTCCCATGCATCCCCCCCCCCCAAAACCCGTTAGCCTGCCCCGCTGGTTTCCACGGCCCGCTGTGTCGGATGCAGTGTGACTGTATGAACGGCGCCTCGTGTCACCCGGTGTCGGGTCAGTGTATCTGTTCTCCAGGATTTCACGGAGCGCGCTGTCACAGAGGTCGGTCCGATCTGTTCTCCTAGATGAAATCAAAGAATAACTGGCGTGTTTTTGCCTATTTTATTCTCATGTTTCCAATCATTCACTCAGCGTGCGAACGGGGTCGCTACGGTGAGGGCTGCGTCCAGATCTGTGACTGTGAAGACGGCGCTCAATGTGATCCTGTGTCAGGAAGATGCCTCTGCTCCTCGGGGAAGACTGGACCCAGATGTGACATTGGTAATCCCTCACGCATTTTTGAGAATACACAGTCATCAAACGCGTACTGCATTTCACCAGTGACATCACTTTCAGCTGATGTGCCTTCATTACTCATTAGCGATGATGAGTTATGCAACAGAGACATAAGTGAGGTTTATACACTGCTGCTATGATGAATGCACTGCACTGTATTTACTTCAGCATACATGTGATGATGGCAGTCACATACACAATCAGCTTGTTCCTTTAATATGGATGGAAGAGACGAGTATTTCAGAGAAATAAGTGGAAGAATTTGTTTAGGTGACGGTTAAGATGAAAGGCTACAAAAGCAATTATGATATAGAAATTGGAGAATGTAGTAAAAACACAAACCCAAAGCTACACGTGTATGCTGGGCTGGTGGAAGGAGTGAAACTCTTGCATTGGCCAATTCTCCAGCTTGGACCCTAACCCAAACTGATTTGGTTTAAGACTTGAAGAGAGCGAGTGTGACTCACTGCACTGGCTAGCCTGAACTAGCTTGCAGGCGTCACATACACACACAGCTTTCTTACCAGTAAAGGTATTATTGTATAAATGCACGTAATAGTTGGTAAAATAGACTTTTAATAAATACTTTGATGCCTAAAAATGGCTCCTGTCATATATAGTGCCCAGCTACATTTACAGAGGAAAACCAGTATTATAATATGAAAAGACAAAATCAGAGACATTAGTGAGCACTATAGTGGGCATTCCTTGTGTTGCACTGAGTATTTTTGGATATTAGTGTTAAAAAGTGTTTGTTTTATATTATTTGAGAACAAGATTTGACATTTTTATATTTTGACCTCAAATGAAAACAAACAAACAAAAATGTTTCCCTCCACTGTCAGCATGTAATATACGCTGATCAGGCATAACACTGTGAGTGGTTGGGATGTGTTGGGAGCCAGTGAACATTTTGTTCTGAAAGCTTATGTTTTAGAAGCAGGAAAGATGGAGGCATAAGGATTGGTGCGAGTTTGACGGGAGCCACATTGTGACGGCTTGATGAGTGACTCAGAGCATCTCTTAAAACTGCAACTCCTGTGAGGTGTTCATGGTCGGCGGTGGTCAGTATCGATCTAACATAGTCCAGGGAGAAGTGAACCAGCAACGGGTCATAACGTTGTGCTGGGTCGGTGTACAAGCCTATTAAACTCGTAGGGTTTTAAGGGAATTTTGAATCCTTAATGTAACTAATACAAAAAGGATGATGTGAAGTCAGCAGTACTTCTGTTTGAAGTACTTATCTACTAAAATTTGAATCCAGTTTTCTATGTTTAAGAGCTTTGGCTAACATTCACACACTCATGCTTCCTGGATGCATCTGGGGAAACTAGCCCAAGGATATGTCTACATGCAAACCAGGGAAACTGGTGATCAAACCACTGACCCTTCAACCAGTAGGCATCCCACTTTACCTCCTGAGCCACAGCTGCCCCGTAAATAATACTTGCGCTCGATATTTGAGTAAATGTACTCAGCCGAGTGTTTAATCTTTAGTAATCTGAATAAAGAACGCTGGACAGGTGGAGGTGTTTGTGGTCGGCCTGCTGCTTTAACTGTGCCCTCGCCATTTTGTAGCTTTATTAAACTGCTTGGATTTTGCTTTTCACCGTTTGCTGTCAGACTGCAGAGAGAATCGTTACGGGCCTGACTGCTCAGAGACCTGCGAGTGCGAGAACAGGGCGCAGTGCGACCGTCGCAACGGCCGCTGCGACTGCCTGCACAGCTGGATTGGACCGTCCTGTCAGGAAGGTACAGCAGTGACTAACACACACTCAGACACACCCTGCTGTGTTAACACTTAGGTCATGAAAATATCCACACGGAGGGCAGGTGAAGGCCTCCGCTCGCCCTCGAGTGAGAACAGAAGTGACAGATCTGCTGACCTGGTGAAATGGGAGTAAGTAACCAAGTGTAAGTGCTGACAGTGTTTAGTTATTGTCTGTGAGGGGCAGAGCTGCAGAGGCTGCACTTTCCACTTTTTTGGGGGTTGTTATCAAATGTGAATGCTGTGCGTTTGCTGAGCTGGATTTCTCAGCTTGTTGTGTCCGTCGCCTCAGGTGGACCTCCGCGCCTCACCTATGGGAGCACCTCAAGACAATCACGGCACGACAACTCATTATAGCAGCTCCAACCGGCATGAAATCTCAACTGGGACAGGAGTTTTAAACTGAAGTGACTCCAGTGAGTGAAAGCTCATGACAGGGAACTGTAGCAGCTGGGAGATTCATGGAAACGGACGCTCTGATGAGAACTGCAGTTCCATGTTTGCACCCGTCTGGATGATTTTTTTTTTTGTGCCAAAGTGTCCTTTGAACTGTTGGGGTTAAACTGTCACTTGCAGGTTGTGATTTCCAAACATAACCCGTCTCACCTTCAGGATAAGCATTTCTTCTTCCAGAGTGCAGCGCGAGGAAGTCGCGATCAGGTTTGCTGCACTTTCAGTCCATTGTGTTTTATATGTTTGCCCTCAAAATACAGCGGTAGGTACTGTATAAGAAAAATACTCTACTTTTGTAAAGATGTTGGTGATATTACTGAATATGATGCAGTTATGTCATTTCTATGAAGTTGTTTTCAGTCTATACAACATGAAGTATGACCCTTGGGTAAATGGTGCTATGATGCTTTACTGTACGGTGCAACAGATTATATTGATCCTCACAAGCTTTATGCTATATGACAGTAAAGCACACTCTTGATGACTACACATGCTGTAATGACAGTTTTTAAAGTTCAATGTAAACCACTTCAGATCATTTGCACCTCCTTCAGGATTTTTATTTTTTGTATAAATTGCCTCATATTTATATTTCATAAATAAGTCATAAATGCATCTTTTGTTTTCTACTGGATAGAAGAGGCTTGGACGCTCTAACAAATCCAAACATTATGAATAAAGATGCCAAAATAAAAACAGACAAGTTGGTTTTTAACCATTCTTATTTTTATCATTAATTCATTTTCATTGAAGATCATAAGCTGTACATCCTGTCTAAATCTCAGATTCAAGCACAGTGCAGATAGCAACGCCTGCAAAATGAAATCAAAATGAAAAAAGGCAAAGGTGATCACAACCAGAAATATATACAAAGGTCAGAGTATGTACAGGAGACACCAGGCTCTCAATACGTCGTCTTCAGGGTGAATTCCACACACTGTTGCATTTGAGCATCATAATGCACACACAACACAAAGATTGCTTCTTTTTGTCAGTCTTCAAATCAATACAATACCGATAGGAAAAATGCAGCATGATGACAAAAATAAAAACAGTTCTCTTAATTCTCTCTACTGCATTAAAGGCTAGAACATAAAAATATATTCTCTGTATAACCTAGAACCTTCTGTAAAATAAGCTCTATTCATCTGCGGGTCTGTTTCATTTGTGAACTAGTCATTAACATGTTAGAACAGCAAATATGATGAAACTAGGACCTCTTAAAGCATTATTTTCTCCTACATGGGTGAGGGCACCAGACAAATACACACAAGCTTCAAAAGTTTCAGTTATTTCTACGTTGTGCGCGTGAAGCTCGTTACGACACGGCATCTGTGTCGAGCGGGTCGGCACGCTGGGACACAACTGTGATGGTCAAACTAAATGCACAGCGATAACGTTCAAAGGGAAAGTCTGACATCTTTAGGGGGGAGGGAAAATACCACGTCGGCATATTTGCTGCTAAATATGACGTCGCCTTAGAGCACAGAGACTGGAAACAGCCAAACTGCTTTTCTCATCATCAATAATACATTTAGAAAAGAAATGATTCCGGAAAATAAGTGTGTCACGCCTTGCCACGGCAGCCTTAAATTATTTGTTACGTGGATGGAGAAACGGCACGGTCCTCGCTGCCACGGGAGCGCCGGGCCGTCCTCGACTCAGGTAACGATACCGTCACTTCACCTGTCTCCCCTTTCCTCTGCTCCCCTCCATGTGTCCGTTTATCCAGCAGAGCAGAGATGCACCCACACAGATGGTGAAACGGAGAGCACAGGATGAAAGTGCACACACAGCACGGACTCGACTGCACACTCAAACACCCGATTATGTGTTAAATAAACCAGGTTCCCAACTGAGAGTCTGACAAGTTATCCTTACAATATCTCAATCAGACAGTCCTTGGTGAACACAGTAGAACATATGAACAAGGCTAAAACCCTCTGACTGCTCTTATCTGTAAAGCTTAATAATGAATGGCTAATATGTTCTGTACAGAAGAGAAAATGAGTTTCTTCTGGTTTCCAGTCTGTGTGTTGAGCTAATAGTTCAGTATCAGACCTTTTGTAATTTTGGGTGAGAAAAAGCACATTTCCCAAAATGTCAGACTCAACCTTTAAATCTCAGACTTCTTCTCCGCTCCCTGCAGATGGAAATATTAAGACACAGAAACTCCACAGACTAATGAACAAAATGTTCTTATCTTTTTTTTTCTTCTTCTTTTTTTTTTTTTTAAATTCTGAGAAAACAGCATCAGCTTGTGTCTGTTATTATTTACTCAGACTTACAAGAGACACGGCAAATCAGCCGTATTCAGGGATCAACTAATACAACAGCATGGGATTAGTTCAGTTGTCCCCCGATCCCTCACACCTGAACACACACGCACACACACACACTCAATCAACTCGATCAACAGCAGATCTTGAATCACTTTGCTGTTGTTTAGGAGTAATACTCAAGCAAAACCTCATCCACACAAACCCCACACAGTGATGTTTATCCCCTCCACTCTAGCTGAGCAGCTTCACCTCATTCATATCATTCACACTTATATAAGTTATGTTAATTTGCACTTGTTTTTTCCTTCTAAGAATCAACAGTTTATCAACTGTTAGCAAAGACTTGTTATCTACACGTGTTAGTAAGCTTGAAAAGCATCACCTTGTTTGTCCCATAGGTACTGTAGGCTGGGTGAAGAGGGTCCATGCTTAGAAGATGTAACATGCTTTCCACTTGTGCTTTAATCACAGTAAGAGAGCACCCAAAGGACAACAAATGATACAGGGCGTTGTCAAAATGTTTGCAATAATACTTCTGACGTGTCTCGGGGCGTCTGCCGCCTGAAACAAACCTTACCGATCCTAAAGCACTTAGTTGTACTACGCATTCTGTATATGAAGGACATACTTGTTAACTAGTGTAACAGTTCGGTCAAGTAAAGATATATTATGGAGTAAAGTCCATACCATAGATAGATTACAAGCTGGACAGCACATGCGTCAAGATGATTTCTATAATCTTGTAATAGTGAAACGTTGGGTTGTTTTCTAAAAGAAAGAAAGAAAGAAAAGAAGAAGATGATCTTTGGCTCAAGCCACACTAAAGTGTCCACACATGAGAGAAAAACAGATGACTAAATACAACCTCTGACTTTGTGCACGCCAACACACGACTGAAACTGCCTGCTCCGTTCCCTGAGCTGCTGCCACTCACCGATTAAGCAGACACGACTCCTTCCCCCCCAGTCAGGGAGCAACAAACACCACTTCCACCACTCAGCGGTCCAGTTTATACCGGGGACACATGACCAGCGCAGAGAGACAGGTGTCGAGCTGCTCGTCTACAAGCCCAAAGCACAGTTTGATGCAACTCTAAATAAGGCAAAATACTTGAACTGAATTTGATTGAGGAGAAGTTTCCATGAGATGTTGAGCCAACACTGATATGAACGTTCCCTGCACGCCAAAATCCTCAGCCTGAAAAAAGCGAGAAAAGCGGCCGGGAAGCACAGTGAAGCAGGCCGCTGCGCTTGATATAACACGACTGCAGTTCCTGCTGTTAGGGAGGAATAAACTGCTCATCTCTTCAGTGGCACGCAAGTTGCCCAGACACATCAGCCTGGCTCCTAAGCTCCATCGTGGTGAGTGGTTCACTGTAAGGACGGAAGCCCTGATGACTTCAGAACTTCAGAGCCACGCTTACACAGGAGGAGCATCGGAGCATTAGGCTGGACAAACGCACTGCCAGTGAAGAAACAGAGGATGAAGAGAGGGAATCATGAAGAGGCGATGTGATTCTATAGTGCAATGGCTGTGAGATAAGACTGTTGTAATACCCATCCTCTCTCCTCTTTGAAACTGCCTTCCAACACCTTTACTGACAGTACTAAAAAGTGCTGATTGAAGCCCGTGAGGAGGCTGTAATGTCGACAACACTTTCAGAGAAATCTTGACGGATTTGGACAGTACACAGGTGTTTGTAAACAGAACGTCCAAACAACGAATGCATGGCTATGGTACATGTGCAACAATAGTTCTCGTGTATTCATACAGCATGAATTTCATCTTCCTTTTAGTTGTATTCGGTTTTAAAAAGAGAGAAAGAAAAATAGAAAGGAAAAAAAAATCTGGCTGCCAAGCAAGCGTGTGCTTATTTTATTTTTTTTAATAAATGTATTTTTCTCTATAGTTTTAAAATACGTTCAGCTGAATTGAATGTATAACTAATTTAAATATGAGCGCATATCTCTAACCTCTCTTTTTCCATGTTTGTGTCTTTCTTTGTCAATCCTGTCATTTCCAGTGGAGGTGACTGTATTTTTTCCCCCTTTTCTTATCTTATCCCTGTAACTCTAAATGAGGTGCCCTGCGTGGCCTTGGTGTGGCCAGACTCATGCGCCAGGGTCTCACTCAGTAAAAGCTCAAGCAAACAGAGGATCAGGCAAAGGTGGGGCACTGCGGCTGCAGGCCGGGTGCAGCCCTGCCGGGCGGGGCCGTGCCACGCGTTAGGAGCGGTAGTCCTTTTTACTGTACGGCTTGTTCCCCAGGATGCTGTCCACCTCGTGTGTGATGGATGACGACAACTTTGGAAGAACCTACGACACGACAGAAAGACAAGAGGTGAACGCACTGCAGTCACCATGGTGTGTTGCAGTTTCACATCGCTACCTATAGAGAGTGTTGAAAGGATTTTTACAAACAATCTCAACGTTGCAATCTTCAGTCCAGCTCAAAATCCAAAAACGGAAGTGGCATGTGTTTATTTTTTACTTTATTTCTTTGTTGTTTTATATATTAGCTTTATGCACAAGTTTTTATCTTTATAAACAGCGATATGTAAAAAGGCTTCAGTTCTAATAAATTCCAGAAAAGTTGGGATGCTGGTAAAACAGACATTTTAGTATTTTATGAAAAATATTAACTCATTTTGAAGAAGACTTTGAAGAAACAGCAGGTAGTTTTATTGGCAACAGGTCAGGTCTAACGTGACCCTGTATAAACAGAGCAGCCTGTTAGAGAGGCAGAGTTTCAGCAGTCTGAACAAAACTGTGGAACAAGTTCAAAATAAAGTTCTTTAATGTAAAATTGTGAAACCTTTGAATAAGAATATGGAGAAATCTCTGTGCGCAGAGAACAAGGCTAAAAATCAGTACTGACTGCCCATAATCTTCAGGTCCTCGGGCAGCACTGCACTAAAATCAGGCACAATTCTGTCATGGAAATCACTGGATGGACTTCCAGAAATCCCCGTCTGTGAACAGAGTTCATCATGCCATCCACAAATGCAGCTTAAAGCTCTATCGTGCAAAGAAGAAGCCATATGTGAACATGAAACAGGAATACTGGCGTCTTTTCTGGTGCAAAGCTCGACCTGTCTGCAGACAGGCCCAACTTTCCACCAACTGAAAACATTTGACACATTATGAAATATGTTCTTTATGTTCTATTGTGAATAAAATGTTTTATATTTGAGATTTGCAAACCATTGCATTGTATTTTTATTTATATTTTACACAGCATCTCAACTATTTTTGGAACTGGGGTAGAACTTTGTAAACAGACACTACATAAAGTATTTATAGTAAAGTAGTGCATCACTGAGCAGAGCAGAAATATGACAACAGGAGGAATATATTGTTCCTTTTAAACTTGATAACTGAGGAAGCTTGACTCAAAGAATAATTATTTTCAACAAAAAGGCTGTATAAATAAAGATTTATGAAAATACATCACTAAAAAGAAAAATTTATTAAGATATTTTGCCCTATTTGATAAAATTACAGATCGTTTTACTCTGAATTTCAAAGTGAGGAGTAAAAATCTTCTATTTAACTGGAAAACAAGCAAAATAAAAAAAGATTAGATGGTAGTAAAAATTAAACAGGAACTTTTCGCGTGCAGAGAATAATAAATAAAGTATTTGCTCTTCCGACAATGCAGACATTAAATAAAAAGAAAAAAATAATATTTTTATTGAAACTTCCTGAGAAAGTCTTACACACCAGGGGCCGTTTCTATTTCAGCGTCTCTGATATAAAATTCTGGCAAAAGGGAAACTGCAGAGCCCTTGGGAAATGTGAGCATAGCATTTCAAACCCGAAATATCAAACGCATTCTGGGAGAGGAGACGTTTAGTGCACACGCACACACACACACGCACACACACACACGGGAGCAGACAAAAAGCATCGGAGTAGATGAGAGTCAGAATGCTTTTTACTTCGGGCCAGACATAATGTGAGGAGGGGACGTAAACCCTCACCGGTCTGAAAACCCCATTAAAGAGTGCATCTTATCAGGAGAGGAGGAAGCGGCTGTGAGCTCATCGCCAATCCCACTGGCAACTGATACTCCTCTGACCTTATTAACTCAGTACAGTAAAGCACCCAGGCGTGCAGCAGCAAACTGCCCAGGAGGCCAAGCCGTGCCCAGGAGAGGAGGCTGCCGCTATGGACTGTAAGGCACGAATACGAGCCCAACAAAGCGGGTCAGGTCGCATTTTCACAAATTAAGCTTCTGATTTGCTTCGCGGTAACACAAGCAAAGCGTACACACACAAACACACTCACCTGGATCGCTCCTATGTTCTCCATCAGCTGGTCGGTGTTGGACGCCCCTAAAAGGACAGAGCTCACCCCCTCGTTCCGTAGGCACCACGCTGCAGGAGACCAGTAAATATGGATGACACCCCTACCGTGATTAAACACACGCACATACACACACGCAATACCCGAGACGCAAACACACGCTGATTACTATTTGCACATGAAATGACAGCTCCCTGATAAAACAAGCCAACTGCTATACTACGGCAACATTACTCATCAGGACCTTGACACTCGTTACACTAACACTGGATCAGCGATGGAAGAACCGACCCACTCATGCACACACCACAATATAAAAATGACTCCTGATCAGATGGTGCTCAATGCCCGCCTACATTACATCAAATTTCAGTACTATACCTTAGCTCATGCCGTGTTGAAAATGTAACTTGGCATAGCTCACTGCAGGTAAATAGAGTCTCGTTGTTGCACCATGACTAAATGATTTGAATGGAAAAACCGTCTGGTGCTTACTTGGTTCTAAAGTTGTTTAAATACAATCTCAGATCAGAACTGTGTCATTATTTAGCTGAAATTAAATAGACCAAATGCAGAAGCAGCGTGTGAAAAAACTGAGTACACATCATGATTCAGCAGATTGTAGAAACACCTGTATGAGAGCATTAGTCTCTCACATCGGTGTGGAGGAATTTTGACCAACTCTTCTTTACAATGTTGACTCTTCCACAGCATGTCTTTATCCCGTCTGCCTTCTCTCACTCAAACCGGTCGCAGCAGATGGCCCCACCCCTCCCTGAGCCTGGTTCTGCTGGAAGTTTCTTCCTGTTAAAAGGGAGTTTTTCCTTCCCACTGTCGCTAAAGTGCTTGCTCATAGAGGGTCATATGATTGTTGGGCTTTTCTTTGTATGCATTATTGTAGGGTCTGCCTTCCAATATGAAGCGCCTTGAGGCAACTGTTGTTGTGATTTGATGCTGTATAAATAAAACTGAATTGAATTGAATTGTTGCTTCAGTTCACTGAGATTTGCAGGCATTTGTTTATCCACAGCTCTCTTAAGGTTGTCCCACAGCATTTCAATCATGTTCAGGTCTGGACACTGATGGATTGCAACATGCTGACTCTTTTTTCAGCCATTCTGTTGTAGATTTACTGCTGTGCTTGGATTTATTCTCCTGTTGCCTGACCCAATTTCAGCAAAACCATTACCCGTTAGAAAGACGCCCTCAACTTTAACACCATAATGCTTTAGTATACAGTGGAGCTCATAGCTAACTCAGTGGCTGCAACTTGCTGTGGTCCTGTGGCTGTAAAACAAGCTCAAATCATCATCATCAAATGTTTGTGCTGTTTTTTTTTTCTTTTTCTAAAGGTAGTGCTTATTATATTATGAACAGACATCTCCATTTCTGGTCTCATCTGTCCAAAGAATATTGTTCCAAAAGTCTTGTGATTTGCTCAGATGTGGCTTTGGAGCCCTACGCCGTGCAGCCATTTTCTTTTTAGCAAGAAGAGTCTTTTTCCTGTCACCACTTCCAAATAAGACATACTTGTTCAGTCTTTTTCTGATTGTACTGTCGTGAACTTTAACATCTAACATGCTAACTGAGGCCCATGGAGTCTAAGATGTAGCTCTTGGGTTTTTTTGCAGTGTTGCTCAGCATTGCATGGTCTGTTATGGGGTAAACGTGTTGGGACATTCAGTCCTGTGATGATTACAAACTGTTATGAAACTGCCAGAACGTCTGCTTTTATAGAGGTGGTCACGTTTGCTAATGACCAATTAATCAAGTGCCTTTGATAAGTGACCTCTGTCTGTGACTGACCATCTTAATTCTATAGAACCAGTAAGGGTGTACTTAATTTTTCAAACACTGCTTCTTGATTTAGGTTTGTTAAATATTGACTGTGTAATTTATTGTGTGATGTTCATCTGTTTTTCCTGGTATATTTTTTTTTTCATAAGACTAAGTTCCCATCCCTTTGTAAAGCACAGGTAGTGAAGCAGGAACTTGCAAAAAACCCATGTACAAATACTTCAGAACCATTTTCAGGTGCAAAGCATGAGTAAAAGAACTAAATCTCAGAGCAGCTCTCTGCTACTAATGTTCATAAAACCTGCCTTTTTGTGATCACTGCATACAAACACACACACACACACACACACACACACACACGCACACACACCCCATCCTTGCTTGGTCTGCCATTGTAATTGGGAACTGTATTATGCAATACAACTGCATGCTCTTGAAATTCAGGAAAATACACTGGTAAGCAGATTACAGTATAATGGAATGAGGAATGCTGCTGTAAAAATAGTGGGATTATGATTCTACACAAATCTTCAGTAAACATGAGAATACGGCCAAAAAAGGAAGATCTTCATCGGGAGTGATGCAGGTGCAGCCCTTCCCTCAGGCTACTGAGATACCGACTACATTTGTTTACTCTGTTCTCACACTTGCAGCCTGATTCCTGAATTTACCACCTGCTCAAGGAGTCTCGGGATAAAGCCCAAGGCGAGAAGCAGTCTGTTATTGTTTTATAGTTTTTATTTAATGCTGGAGTGACACAGCGATCTAGAAGACTGCATATATACTCTGTGCTGCCTACAGGAGTGCTGGAAGGATTTATGGTAATTGAGGGAGAACCAAGGGTGTCCACTAATGGCCCGTGAAACCAAATCTATGACAGTGTATTACTGTGTGGGTGAAAAATCTGCTGTGATCTGTGCTGAGATAGGAGACCGACTGCGAGATTTATTCGCCGCGTCCCTCTCGACTGCCACTTTAACGACGCTTGCAGGACTCTGCGTCTTTGGGGTTTGCACATTTACTGCCCGGCAAGTGAATCGATACGAGTCATCCTCTGGATTTATATCTGATACTGTGTGTTCCTGTGCCTTTAAGACGCACTATTTACCTTTCTGATTGTTTTATTTCTTAAATAGTCTCTGTTTTCTTGTTTTTCCTCATAAATATACTTTTCTTTTCTTTTTTTTTTTAACTGCACACTTACAACACAGACACATACGTGACAACACAACACACCAAGTGTCAAACCAGACAGCTGCGAGAGCGGTGTTGACCTCGGCCTGTCCGAGGCAGAGGGACGGACAGACAGACAGAAAGAGAGAGAGCGGCAGAGTGTATCTGCGTACCGATGGCGAGTTGGGGCAGAGTGCAGCCCAGCCGCTCCGCGATTGCCTGCAGCTCTTTCAACTTCGCCTGCTGACGCCGGCCCTCCTCGCTCAAGATCTTGTCCTTCAACCACTGGTAGCCCTGTCGAAAACACAGCACACCTGCTCAAAAACACAGCCCTGCTCACACCGCTGCGCTGCAGCTCCTGTGTCACCAGGGCCTGTTTTTAAACACGTGACTCTGTCTCCTGCTGTCTACACCTCAGCCAGGGAAACACAGCTCACTCTATGCTTTTGTAAAAAATAATAATAGTCAGTTCATTTATAGCAGATTTACAAACATTACAAAAATTAAATATGTTAAAAAAGTGTTAGTTTTGTCCCAGCTGAGTTATACAGTAGCTTTGATATCTAGCTGGTAGATCTAACAATACGGAGGATGTGATTAGTATCACAAGGATTCACTGACTCAACGATCCAAAACACCACAAACATCCACAGACAACACTGAGCCGAACGGGAAGCAGCACATTCAACATAAGTCACCAAAAGTACTGCACGACACCAAGATGGAGAGCTTACTTCATGAACCGGCAGAGCTCAAACCAACAATCAGTGACACACGATCCACAGAAACACAACATGCCACTCCAGCACAGAGGGACAGAACACCAATCAGGTGTAAGCTTATGTGTTGAGCTGTCTTGGATCTCTTATTTTTAAAAGTCTGCATGCTGAATGCTAAAATATATTTCAGCATCACAACATGACATGATGGAAAGTGAGGGCTGCTGAGTTCATCTGTCACAAGTACAGGATTGAATCCCTAAAGCCGCGTCTCCTCTTTAACCATTTTTAGTAAAAATGGACGTTTTGTTTTCTTTTTCTCCTGACACAACGCACTGAATTGATTCCCGATTCATCTGCCAATTTATAAAGAGAAACATTTTTATTTTTAAAGTGTTGGTATCTGTAGTGTCAAATAAAAATTCACAAGTCAGCACGCACACGTGCCGCACTATTATTGTTGTGAGCGTAGGTGTTTTGTGGTCATTTGCATGGACTAAAATATATTAAGCTGACACCAACTGACAAACAGTGTGTAACAGCACTGCTTGTGAAGCGGTACGCAGTGCATGGCGTTGGCATGGCGTCGGCATGGCACTGAAAACACACAAGGTTACAGTATGTGGTGAGTAACAGAACCTGAAAGACACAAACACACACAATAAGCAACCAGCAGTGAAACACAGCACAGTGACAGCGGCACAGATGATCAGAGTGGGATAAAGAAGGAGCACAGCGAGCGAGGCTTGTCTACCTTAAGGGAGGCCCGCGAGTAGGGAGGGACCCTGCCATCGTATTTCCCTGAGATGATCCCACAGGCCAGCGGAGACCACGTCATGGCCCCCACACCTGAGAAGAGAAACATGTGATCACCACTGAACAATTTTTATCAGCCATCAATAAATTTTAAAAAAAGGGCTGAACTTTGCTGAGTTGATGATGACCATTTCTCTACTTCTCTTAAATCACACTGACTGTTCACACACTTCCACAGCATGTCTTTTATTCTGTCTTCCTCCCCTCACCCAAACTGGTTGCGGCAGATGGCCGCCCCTCCCTGAATCTTGTTCTGTTGGCAGTTTCTTCCTGTTAAGAAACTGCCAACAGAACAAGAAGGAAAAACAGTGGGAGTTTTTCCTTCCCACTGTCGCCAACATGCAAGTAGGGTCATATGATTGTTGGGTTTCTCTCTGTATGTATTATTGTAGGGTCTACTTTACAATATAAAGCTCCTTTTAATATAAAGACTGTAGAGAAACCAATGCTGGTTTCTCTGCATTGAATTGAAGCTAATAAAGTTATATGACAACACAAACAAGACTTTAACCAGCTAGAATCAGAACTGCACTGATCTCCAGTGCTCCAGCAAGTAAGAGAGAAGTTCTCGTATTACATTTCTGGAGTGCTTCCTTTCTTTTCATCAGACCCGAGATCCAACACTTGGCTTCAATTTAACCTTGTGTGTCCACGTGTCAAAAATCCCTCTAGCTCTGTGGGTTTGTGTAAAGAATAACTTTTGTAATGCTTTCATGGATCAATTCTCCACCTGGAGGCACAAACGCACCACTGCTCACCTATCTTATGGAACAGCTCAGGTAGCTGCACCTCCACCTTCTCTCTCTGGAACATGTGGTACTCTGCCTGCTCGCAGATGGGGGGAATCTGGTTGAACTGTCTCGCAACAGAGTACGCTTCCTAGAGAAAAACATGCAAAGAGTTACATAATACAGCAGAGTATGTAAACATTTTGTATTGGGAACAATACTGAACAAGAATAGAAATAGTAGATAATATGAAGCTGGAAATAACTGGAACTTGTGAAGACAGAAGGAATGTATTTTGGACTGAGTCTCACCATTATTTCCATCGGGCTCCAGCGGGATGTTCCCCAGTACATGGCCATGCCTTGGTTTATCACATGGGTCATTGCTCGAACCGTTTCTGCAAGTTACACACAACAAAGATGAGGAAAAAAAAAAACCAAGAAGTTTCCCACATTTTTGGTTACACATACAAACATCTACACATAAACACACTGTTCCACTGATGGATCCGGTTTTTGCTACTTTTAGATCTGCAAAATGTTAAACCTCTGGATCTGAACACAAAAACCCGATCCACGTGTTTAGGCAAGGGCAGCCAATCAAAATAAAGGTAGATCAAAGAAAGGTGGGTTTTAGAGTGTTAAATGGCTTGTTTCAATGCTGGATCAAGGTGTAGTTTAAGATAAACAAAGCTGCTCGAGTGGAGTCCAAAAATAAAAATATGCAGTTCTGGCATCAGCACCATGCTCTCCCGTGTTTTAAATGCACCTTAGAACAACACGCAGCAACACTACACATGAGCGAGAGGAGGGAGGTTTGGGGTCTTCACACACCCCTGTTCTCTGCTGGCCATCGGGGCGTGGGGGCTGGGAGGAGGTGTTGGCCGTCCGATTGGGATCTGGGATGCGGGGCCTCCCTGCTGCTGCGGAGCCTGGGGCGGTCTGCTTGCCTCCACCCCGGGGGAAAGGGTAACATCTCCTGGGTCTAGGCTAGGGGCGAGGGTACCTGGACCTGGGGTATAGAGTTTGTTTGGGGAGTGTGATTGTGTGTACAGTGTCCATGTATGTCTATCCCTACGTTGGGTGAGTGTTAAGTATTTGTATATGTGTGCATGAGGGTGGGAATGCATGTTTGTGTATGTGTGTGCCTGTTTCTCTGTGTTTATATGTCAGGTCGGGTCTTACACTCCACCTCTCTGGGAACTCCCAGGCCCTCCAAAGGCCCATCTCCCCTCACCACACTCCCTGCCGGTAACTAATGCCCTCAGGGGTCGTTGCGTTAGTGGTTCTTGGTGTCCGGGGCTGGGCGCTCAGGTATGTACCAGCTCGCTCCCGGTGACTACTTGGCGGGGCCTGGTGCCTGTTGCTCGGTCAGGCCTCTTCCGGGGCAAAGGGGGCCCTCAGGCCTCCGGCCTCTGGGTCTGCAGCTCGGTTCACTCTGGCACAGCTGGCTGACGGCAGAGCCGGCGGGCACGCCACTGCAGCCCCCTCTGGCTTCTGCTCCCCTAATGTGGGGCTCTCCTCAGCTCTTCCCAGGAGAGTGGCACGGATGCCCCTCCGGTGGTCCTCGTTGGGCTCTCGCACTCTGGGGCCTCTGGATGTCTGGAGCCTGGATCTCCTCCATGCCTGCTTCATGCCCTGGGGGACGGGGCTATGGCTCTCTACATCCTCTAGCAGACCATTACATGGGGAAACCTTTTGAATACGAGCGCGCCGATCCACACAGGTGTGCACATGGGTGTTCACTGTTCATAGACATAAACTACACCTTTATTGGCTGCTATTTCCAAGCACTGTCGGTCCTGCTTGCAACACAACAACATTCAATATTTACTGCTGTTTACACTTAGCTAGATTAACGTGATGGTGTTGTGTTTAGTATGTTGCTCTGTTTTTTTGCTTGTTTTCTCTTCTTTTTCTCTCAACAGGTGATCCAGGAGATTTTTTTTTCCTCTTCTTTCTCTTTTTAAGTGCCCTTTCTCACCGTCCCGCTTTCCTTCTGTTTTTCTTTTCCTTCATCTTTCTTTCTCCCTTTCCTATCCCTCAGTCATGTCTGTCCCGTCTGTAACAACTGAAAATAAAATAAAATAAATAATAACAATAAAGGTTGATCTAATGGACCAATACGGCAAGGCCGTGATGATCCATTTGGCAAAGTAAATCCATTGGGTATCCTTGTTGGTCTTCAGACAACAATTCTGACGGCTAAAGAACCAAATGGGACAGGCAAAAAAATAAATAAATAAATAAATATGTAGCTTAAAAATAAAAATAAAAAGCCGGCCTTAAAAAGAAAAAAAAAAACATTAACACTCGTTTCACCCTGTGGTGTTTTCCGCAGCATACAATACCTCAAACAGTGTCCTGGTACTCTAATTTATGTGCATCTGCTTGTTCTTTCTTCTTCTAAAAGAAGCACTCGTTATCATTTGCAATCCAAATGGCCTCGGCCATTCAGGACAGAAGTGGAAAAGCTGATTATGTTAATCAGAATGGAGCATGATTCACCCTGATGAAGATGACATCTATTCATAACAAGGCACTTGAATGACATTAATGTTTAAAAAAAAAATCCTAAGAATCTGTCAATTTCGATCTGCAGCGGGCTGCAGAAAGGAAATCCAGTGAAATAAATACGAGATGACGGCCGTATTTGCACCACTTCAGATCTTTAATTGTGCAAAAAGCCTCTTCAGTGGTTTGACAAAGTGGACTACAGCTTATTTATTTTAAGCATAGATGGTTAGAAAATATGTCAGGGGTGATTTATATTTCTCTTTAATGTGATGACTGGATGTTGCAGAGAGATTAATCTCATGTTACTGTGTCAACACAGCACTGCATTTGATTTAAAGCCGTCAGGTGGGAAAGTGTTTTTAAAGCATGCGTGTTTATGTGTATGATAAGAGAGATTTGAATAAACAAATGATTCTGATAATTATGCTAAAGATTATAACATCACAATATACATTAGCAGAGGCATGATAAGAGAGCCATGGCACTCAAAGAATCCTGATTACACATCTGAAGTTTAGCTCCTGTCATAAAAGAGCCAGTCAACAGCTAAAACTAGGATATACGACCCAATCAGTGGGTAATGTTGCATTGGCACAGTAGAAGTCTATCACGGGCTTCTACTGCACATCTGCAACCTTAACAAAGATGTAGATAAGTCAAATTACATTCATGCAAATAAGCTTTAAGATTAGATTTGTTCAGTGGTTTGTTGGGTTGTATGGATATTGAAATGTACTCCCATTTATACAGTTCTTTTATAATCTTAATGACTAAAAGTCCCATTTTAACCCCCATTAAGCAACATACATTTATACAGCACTTTAATTACCTCATACCCATGGCATATTCAGAATCACCCGTTAACCTAATGGATGTCTTTGTACTGTAGGAGAAAGCATGAGAGAACGCACACAGGCATAGGTGAGGATCGAGCCGGTTATAAGCTTGCTGTAAGGCTACAGTGCTAACCACTCGACCATCATGGCCATCCATGATAAACAGCCATGAAGGAAGAAATAATGAGTATTTTTTGTGAGCATCAAAGAAGTTGATGAAAAGCCCTTTAACCCTCATTCTAGGCAAAGCTTTAAAGCAGTTTTTGGTTTGACTTGGTTGCTTTTATATAAGCTGCTTTTTTGTAACATTAATTAATTTGTTACATTTTATGTAACAAATTAACGATATAGCCCTCTCCTCACCACAGACAGCATAAAAGATGTAGCTTCCAGGTCTAAAAAGCAAAAGTTGATCCTTAAGTAGCCTAAGCCTAAATTCACTCTAATGGGCATCAGGGGGCGAAAGCTGTGGATACTAAAAGACTCTGGGCCCTGTAGAAGTCTATGGTTTCTGTGTTTCAGAAAGGTACATTACCCAGCACATGCTCAAATGCGAATGACTTGTGATTGACAAATCGTTATCCAGTGAGTTGAGTAGTAGGTGAAAGCAGTTATTTTTATGTATTTATTTTATGTTACATAGGTAGGCGAGCACTCTGGGGCCTCTGGATGTCTGGGGCCTGGATCTCCTCCATGCCTGTTTCATGCCCTGGGGGACGGGGCTATGGCTCTCTACATCCTCTTGCAGACCATTACATGGGGAAACCATTTGAATACAAGCGCGCTGATCCACACAGGTGTGCACACGGGTGTTCACTGTTCGTAGACTTAAATCACACCTTTCTTAGCTGCTTTCTCAAAGCACATTGTGCGCTGTCGGTCCTGTGTGCTGCACAACAACATTCAATATTTAGTATTTACTGCTGTTTACACTTAGCTAGATTAATGCGATGGTGTTGTGTTTAGTATGTTGCTTTGTTTTTTTTGCTTGTTTTCTATTCTTTTTCTCTCAACGGGAGATTTTTTTTCCCCTTTCTCACTGTCCCTCTCCCCTTCTGTTTTTCTTTTCCTTCCTCTTTCTTTCTCCCTTTCCTATCCCTCACTCATGTCTGTCCCGTCTGTAACAACTGAAAATAAAATAAAATAAATAATAAAAACAAAGGTCGATCAAATGGACCAATACGGCAATGCCATGATGATCCATTTGGCAAAATGGGTATCCTTGTTGGTCTTCAGACAACAATTCTGACGGCTAAAGAACCAAATGGGACAGGCAAAACAAACAAACAAACAAACAAAAAAAACATAGGTAGGCGAGTGACAAACTATTATTGCTTTTAAATAGGGCTTTTCGATATAATGATATATATATATATATAAGATGACGATATGAAAACGTCTATCGTTTCATATTATGATATTTGTTTCGTGGTGTTGCAAAATAATTCCTTTTTTTTTTTTTTAAGGTGGCCTGAATGGGTTGGTCATGTTTCAGTGGCAGTTCTGATGAAAGATGCTTATCCCGAATGGTGTGTGGAGCCAGGTGGCATGAAGATAATCATCTGTAGTGTTTCACGTGCAGTGTGTGTAACACGTGTGAGAAATTAAATCACAGCTCCAACTCAGCCTGTGTGTGTGTGTGCTGTTGAGCAATATCTTGCGTTATCTGACTGTAATTTCCGTCTTTTTATCGATCTAAGTGATAACTTGTTTTGTTCGACTGCAGACCAAATATAAAAAATGTCAGATAGCGATCGAAGCGTCCCAGACAAGAGAAGGAACACGCATATAATAAGATGGGCCCTATCACCCATCAATAATCCATCACGCTGATGCACTGTTTCTCATAAAAGAGTCGAATAGACCAAGCCTCCCATCTTGGGAGTGGGTGCTTGTCTTAAGGGGTTTACTGTGTTTACTCTGACAGAGTAGCTGTTCACTTCCTCTTCACCCTGTTTACCCCTTCAGCTACTGCCAGCATAAAATACACCAGATGGCTTTACCACTACAGATTGGAAGACGCATATTCAAAACTGCCCATTTGAACTGTGTGCAATCTCTAAAGGGCAGAGGGACATAAGAATTGCCTCGACCTTTACATTAAACAACACCAGCTACTTCTGCTCAACAAGATCCTGAAGTATTCTGGAAGAGCCAGCTTGAGCGAAGTAGCAAACTGAAGGCAGAGAGATGGCCCCTGACCGGACTACAACCCGAAGAGGAACTATAACACGGGAGCAGATGGATACTGTGTGACCAGCTGAGCCCCCACACAGTTAGCACTCTGCCATTTAAAGGTCTTCAGCATCCGCATCCATCCTCATTCTGAGTGTGGAGGTGGAAGCACCAGGACAACAGGCAGCATTTAAAAATAGATGTTTCAGTTACAAGAGATTTGTATATCCGAGTCTTCACGTTGCAGTCGTCATAGAGACAGAAAGAATGCCTTTTCTCTAAGCACAGTATGACAACAAGTGATAAAAAGGTGATAAATAGGCAGAAAAAGGGTAGAGACAATAGAATTGCTACCTTCCATTGGTGTATTAGGGTCCGGTCTGTTCGCGAAAACCACATCCACGTAGTCTAACTGCAGTCTTTCTAAAGAGGCTTTTAAACCTGGAAAATAGGAACCACAGTTGAGCAGCAATAGTACTGTGACTGCAAATATCAAAGTGTATAGAAAATTAGTGCAGAGGATTATCAAACTTCATACTTTAAATGGGTTACTGACTGTAGCCAAAACTTTTCCAATAACTCCAGGGGAGGTGTCAGTTTTTAAAATGAAGCTTCGATTCCCTTGACCCAAAGCTATTAATTAATTTTGTTGTTGAAGTGTCAACATTTAATCCAATAATACGCAGCACTGCTACTTACCTTCTATAATGTGTTTTCGGGATAAACCTCTTTCAGTTTCCGCTCTATATGAAAAAAAATACAAAAGAAATGAGAGTGTGTTTGACACCATTATTTAAAATGTGACTGGTAAGGCTCCTGGACGGTAACATAATATCATTTTATCCTTTATGAAATATGAGCAATGTTTCCAGCTTTATTGAAAGCACCTGACAACAGATCAGTTTGGATGACACATGATCCCATTACCAGGAGCATCAGGATCAAACAAGTCGAGAAAAATTACACGCGAGGGTAGTTTTTCATTTGGGCAAACAGCAACGTTAAGGATGAAACTTACTTTCCACCCCAGAAGATCTTTGTTGTTATCACCAAACTTGAACGTCTGGAGAAAGAAAAAAAAAAAAGTAAGCACACATCTGTTACAACATCTGCTAAGCAAACATGCTGAATTACATCAAAAAAAAGCACTGGAGTTGCTTATGCACATGCACAAACTATGATCTTTAGGTCATTCATGCGTTTCTACCTTATTCTATCAGCATCACTCTCGCACACATCCTACAATAACTGTGTCAGAACGCAAACAATGCCAGTGAATGAGTGCTGCGAGCACATAAACCTGATCTGATATAACCTGAGCTATACAAATACCCATACAGGACCGACAAAGTAGAAGACAAGCCACTAGAAGTTCATCCATTATTCATCATCTTTGAGGAGGAGACACTGGAGTGTGAGCATGGCAAGGCTGCCCACATTAATCTTTCATCTCCCCACCTTACTGTTCCGGTTCACAACACACAAGCCTCCCAATATGTGCAGAGGAACGAGATGATACAAGATTAGGCCGGATGGCTGGGAAGGAAATTTAAAAAAAATAAATAAATACAAAATGCAATTAAAGTGTGCCTCATATCATACCTCCATCCTTTCTTCTTTATGATGTTTCCGAGCACCACCTCTGCCCTATGAAACAGATGGAAAGAGAGCATGATTTAAAAAACATTAAAAAAAATAATAGATAGTCTTGAAATGATATGAGCACTTATATCCGACTGTCTCAAGATTTAATTGTTAATTAAAGAACGCAGTCCAATTCTGCGTATATACACCACAAAAGTAAATTTTTATAATCGGAAGCACCTGTTTAGGACGGGTGGCTGTGAACTAGCTGCTAGGTCAGAGCCCAGTCCCAGCTGTGCTGTCGAGCCACCACCAAGTCACTCATTAGCAGCCACGGGGGTGCTAATGAGTGACATTACGTTCAACACGGGGCTCATTAGGGCTGGGCAGAAACCTGTCAGCAGGATGTCTCTCCAGCTCTCTCTGACAAATAATGAGACACCTCCTTGTGACACAGTTTCACATAAAATCCAACTGGCTGTAGAGGTAGAAAAAGCGTCGTGCCAGCTAAGATTTGTTTACGTTTGCCGATGAGTGCAGCTAGCAGCTCTAATTGACGCAGTTTTCAAATATTATGGCAAGTATCCAATTTGTGCACAAATTCGAGGACCACAATTTACCCACAGCACATTACAGCTCCTGTCAGTGTGACAGTCTGAACAGTTTCAGTAATGTGCAAAAGTTTAAGGTATCAGAATACTTTATTAATCCCTGAGGAAACTGTGTGGTTTACAGTTGCTCCAAGACAGTAACAGTAACAGACTAAACTATTTAAGTAGTGCAATATGTTGCAGATATTACAAATTTAAGAAATGGAACTAATATCTACAAATAGCTCAATTATAAATATCAAGAATATCAAGAAGTTTAGAAGTTTTAGATTTGCACAGATCACACAGCAGATTGATCATCCACGCATTTTAAATCGCAGTGAGAGTCACAATGGCATACCCACAAACACCCCCCCCCCAAAAAAAGACTAGAGGCCACAAATGGTAAATTCTTAACCTAAGTATTTTAATACAAGATTACTTGGCAGAAAATAATAAGCTGGCTTTAATTATGTGGAAGTATTAAGGACAGCTGATACCAAGGATAATGGCACAACGATGTTTGTATAAAGTTGAATAATGTGCAAGTTGTTGTTTTTTTTTAAAGAATAATTTTGAAACCTTTTCATGTTTATACATTACTTGAATATCCAGGTATTTCTGTATGAAACATAAATGGGGAAACTACCTATATTTTTGAGTGGAAGAACACTTTTGTAAATCTGGAATTACTTTTAAATTTGTTTGAACTTTCAAGAATAGAAGCAACAACAATTAAGTACAAAGTTGGCAGGATCAATTGTCAGGTTAGCCCATTATCCTTAGGCCTCTGAAAAAGGGAAACAATGTATAAAATCATCAGCAATTCCAATTAATGTACAACTTCTTTGTTTCTCTTAAATTACAGCTAAAAATCTGCACTTCAGTTACAAATAAATCATTCATATTTATGTATTCTTTAAAATCAGAACTATATTGATACACCAATGATTGATAACCATGGGTTATTATGTATCATAACTCAAAAATGTTTAGATTATAAGCACATAATAAACTTTGTAGTGCTGTACCCTTTTTCACAGCAAACGCGCTCTAGTGTGAACCCTCAAAGTGGTCCGCATGCGCAAAAGATGACGTCACACACAACGCGCTCTGTTCAGACCCAGACCAAACAGTATTGCTTGACTGATAGCCCTTAATGTAAAGACTTTGGATTTGATGCGCTTTCGCCTGCAGTGTGAATGTAGCCTTACTTTAATATTCAGGGGCCATTTGTTTGTGTGCTTCGCTTTTGTCTCCGTTTCAATTGAATATTAAATCCTGCATAACATTTCTGTACCATTTATCACCACCTTTTGTTTGCCATTTATTAAAAGATAAATTAAATTAAATATTCAACCTCCCCACTCGTGTGTTTGTGCCTCTGTGCATTCTGCTGATCCAAACAGCAGCTGCCCAAGTACAGTAGACACTGCATTATTACTCCGAGTGATTTCAGCCTCTGCCAGCTGGACTCACATCTTTTTTTAAACAACGAGCAATGAACACTCCCCTGAGAGCAATGATGTGTGTGTGTGTGTGTGTTTCTGGCTCTTAGTATTGCCCCTTTGAAATGTGAGTAATTTGAGTGACCAAACATAAGGTTCACTGAGCCTCGAGCAGGTTGCCTTTCTTCATCCACCCATTAATTAAAGCTTTGCTTTATTTCAATGCTGAGTTGCTTTCTGACTTAGGGCAGAAGCAATGATGTAATGCGGCACTACTCATGGATTCTTTATATTTTATTACTTTCACATTCTTCAGGGCTTATGCCACCTGTTTTTCACCATGTCACACATTTAGTATTGATCTGAAGCAAAATGCCTCTGAGCCTGAGAGAAAACAAAGACTGAAATTCTGTTCTGCCAATTACTGCCATACTTTGAAAAGCTTTCGTGCCATGTGTGCTTGCTGATAAGAGCAGCTACATGGGTTAAGCATAACACATTTGTTTGTGCAAAGAGACATTTGTTTATATTTCTCAGAAACAGTAGCTCATGTATTCGGATGGATATGCTAATAAGCATCACAATCAATATTTGAATATTCTTGTGCGTTCAGTGTTTTGTTCTGTGACCAATTTTTTTTTGAGGGCTAAGCTACAACAAACAGCTTACAAATCTCATTTATTTATCTGTCCACGCTCACCACACAGAATCGACATCACAGCAGCTGACTGTGCAGCCACCAACACCACCACTTCACATCCTCCAAGCCCGACTGATAGAAAGAATCCTTAGCCACAACCGAGGACTTCACATGAAAGCTTTTTCCATTATGACGCGCAAACTGTGTGATTTGTTCGACTCCTTCTCGTGTGTTTGTGTGTAATATAAGCTCCTTGGTGCTGCTTTGCAGTGGAAGCTGTCAGGATTAACACCTGTGCAACACATTTCGAGCTGTGTGACGTGCTGTCACAAACACTTGCACGTGCCAGGCTTGTCCTTTCTGTTCAAGTGTGGTTCTGGTTTATGGCAGCACGATGATCAAAGCCAGAGTTGGTTTTGCTTCTGTGTCAAAGATCAACCTCTCTCATGAATAAATCAACAAGACTGCTGAAAACTCCCCAAAACATTAACATCGTGGTGTGATGACGTGCATCAGACCACAGCTGCTGAGGCATTAGATGCGAAATGAGGACAACCACTGAGACCTACAACGTGTTTCTCCTCTTTTGTTATCTTTTGATTTCCCTTTCTGAGACACGGGGACTCTGATGCATCTCCCCAAACATAATGGAAAAAATAGAATAATCTCAGGAGGATTTAAACAGGAGACTTGCTCCCGTTAATAAGTGACACTATTTGCAAAGGATAATCCCAGCACCCAGGCTACTACAAAGCCTGACTAATCCATACTGGAATTTAAACATCCACTACATCCAGCAATAAAGCAACATGCTTTCTGAGGTTAAACTATCATCACTGCCCATCCCCTAAATTTATGCCACGAATACCCGAACCCTGACAAATGGCACTTTTCGTTGTGAAAAGCAGGCAGACATTAATTTCTTCTCCTCCTTTAATAATAGCCAAGAAAATGAGTAGTTGATTCATCGAGATAAACATACTGTGGAGCTTACTCAGAGGCTGAATGCCATTAAACTATTGTTTGAGAAGAGGGTAAAATGAGACGACATAATTATTAGCATCAGTTAAACCTCAAACCATGTGAAAAACACGATGGAAATAAAACATTTATGCATTTCCATCATCATATATTAATTTGATAAAGGTTAGTTTGTTTAGAATGCACTTTGTCACAAAACAGCTCTAGCATGTCCGCTGTAAAAAACAAAAAACAATTAAGATACACGTGGAAAATATACGTAAAGAGAGATGAATAAGAAAACACTTTTTCCTGTAAAGCCAAAAGAAAATTCATCCACCCTGGGACTGTTGCAGAACGTCTCCAAGCCTCTGCATATGATGTCGATGTTAAATTGTAATGTTGTGATTGTCATGTCTTTCCTGTCTTTTATTTAAATGAACTTATATAAAAAGAAGGTCACCCAGAAAACCCATCCTCAGACGACTGTCCAGATTTTAAGTTTTAAAGATAGTGATTCAACATTTAAGGCTTCTTTTTTTCATCTCTACATCACATTTCACGAAATTCTGCTTTATAGTTTTTATGTATTCTAGGAGACAAACAATTCAGTGCTCTCAGGAAATGTGAGATGGATATTTGGCATATTGGTATGTTACCATAAGTAAAGACAACATGCTGGCACCTTGACTCTGTATTACATCACTTCTAAATGTGGAATATTTGTGCACCACTATAGCTCAAACACCTGACTGGAGTCTGCAAGTACATAACCTCTGCTTGCCTTCATAATCAATCACACATTAGCAGTTTGGTAATGTTTGCTGCTACCACTCACTCCTAAGTGACTCGCCACACAGGATATACTCACTTGCCAGCAGCGTAGACCTCCGCTGTGTCAAACAGATTGATGCCATTTTCATAGGCCAGAGTCATCAGCTGCTCTGCCATCTGTTGAGAGAACAGGGGAGAAGGAACAGAGAGGGGAAATGATGGGGTGAGACCACTGATGTGAGGTGTTAGTAAATTTTAATTATGAAGCTGGCTTCACAGGACTAGAGACTGCTTGTTGACTCTGTCAGAAAAGTAAAAATAGGCTTCTTGAGCAACCTAGGATATCTCCGATCATATGGAGGGTTTCCATTCCAAAGCTTTGATGGATAGAAGCTGACAAAACGCATCTGCTCTCACCTCATCTGTTATCTGTCCGCCAAACGTCACCCATGTTCCTAAAGGGAATGACAGAGAGGTGGGATCAGAGAATTAGTACACAAACATGCAAGTAGAATAAGAACCTTTTTGTTCTTTCTGACATACTTAAACTCAATTTTTTCACACTCTGTTTAATAACACTTTCTCTCTGTATAGAGAACAGGTTTTATATTGGCCTCCCCGGTCTGTCATACCGAGTCTACAGCATGCACAAACAGTTTGTCTCGTGATCTTACCTAATCCAAGGCAGGATACCCGCAAGCCCGACTTCCCGAGGTTTCTGTCAAAACAGAGGAAAATACATTAAAACTAATGCCGCACTGAGGTGGCAGTGATTTCTGATCTTTTGTCCTCAGGCGGTGGCTGTGACCAGCACAGCCTTTCAGGAATGACTGTTTGAAAAACAAAATAAACAAAAAACCCTATCGAGCTTCACTAGAGTTCTCTCATCTTTAGGTTGTTGCTGCAGTGGAGTGACAGAAGCTGGAAAGAACAAGACTTTGTAAGGATCTGTAACTAGCCCGAACATAGTGCAGCACTGACACATGTTGAGGGGATGGCAAACAAAGCACATAAACGTGTAGGCTGACAATGAGAAGGTGCTTGTGCTCACCAAAATGTCGGGGGGGGGGGGGGGGAAATCAGAGACAGGAAGTGAGTATTAAGCAGTCCCACCATGACATCCACTGAAATTTCTCACAGCACACCAGGATCCCTCAGCCGCCATCTGACTAAAATCCCCTGCAGCAATGCGGAAGCTTGACTACACACAACAACTTGATCCTAAAGCTGGCGTCTCTGAGCCAATCACAGTCCAGACAGACCCCTCTGCTTGACAATCACAGCTTTGGTTAGGTCTTTAGCTTGTGCAAGCTTTTGCTTGTGCAAGCTTTTAAAGTTTTCTAATATGCCTGTGGTTCCTCAGTATCATAACAGATTTGTTATGAGAACTGTTATATAATCATTTCACAAGGAAATCAAACCATCTCTTCCGGTCTGCAAAAACCTGACGACTACAATATTTTATTACTTCAGAGTTTTCTGATCGAAGACATTAAAAATACGAAACCAAACGTGCTTCTTCTGGTCAAACACCTTCACGAGATAATCTGGCAGTGTAAAAAAGATAAAAGAAATGTGGCAGAGATGATGTAACGTGTGCAGGAGTCAACGTGAGTATGTGGGAGGCTATCTAATATATTTTTATAAGACTGGCTGTATAGAAGAGCTGAAATGAAAAAGGGGTAGAGAGGGAGACAAAGGTGTGCATGTGTGTAGATGTGCGTTTTATATGGCTGCTTGTAACAAGTGGGACTGTGCTTGCATGTGAGTGGGTGTTCTGTGAAGCCCTGATAAAATTGCTGCAGTAACTAACAACACACTTTCTTCAATGTGTTCTTAACACCAAGTTCAGAAACAGAGACTAAAGCTGCTGAAACCTCATTGTTATCGTATATTATCTAAGTCAGTTACTGTACACTTGTTTAGCAAATAAACAAAAACAAAACAATTAAGCTTAAGGATTTACTTTTCATGCTCACTACCATCCAACAATATTGGCTCGACTTCTGGGTCAGTAAACCAACATAGATGCTCATGGAGTCTATTTATTTCTATTACTTGGTTTTTGAGAAAAGCCCCATTTTCTAAGCCATCAAATGTTTGGGTGAGATCAAACAACACTGACAATTCAGTTTGTGTATTTTGCTGTTTGTGTTCCACTTGTTTCTATGAAGAGCCTCATTAAAATGATCCGTTTGGGTCAGTGAAGTCTGGCAATTGTGTTACACTGTAAATCAGAGAGCAAGATGACATCACATATAGGAGCCTCCTGCTTTATAAACAAACAAAGTTTGTCATGAGGGAGAAGAGAGCGTGATCTAATGAGTCCATGTGTCCTAACGCTGCATCGCAGTACAAGTCTACTGTGGCAAACCACTGGAGCCCATCAACAATTAACTGCCTCTTAATTGCATGAGTAAAACTGCCCCTCGAGACGCTGTTGTGCGGCATCACAGAGATAACCAACACCAAGAGCAGTTTCCTGACTGAAACTGTCAGTGGAGCATGTTTGCTCCAGAGTATTTAATGATTTTAGAGTTCACAACTATATTAAGAAAATGAGATGCAGAGTAAACATTTCCATCAGGTGCATTAAAGCGTATTACAAAGCAAAGTTTTCTGTCTTAACTGTCACATGAGCACGCTAAAACATGAATACTGCACAGTGGATGTGAATGTACAAAAAGAGAGGAGTAAAAGAATAACCGTTCCACCATTGTCATTGTTAGGATGTGCCTTTGTCAGCGTTCTCTTCAGTATTTTACTGGAGTGGCCTTGAATACTGCATTGTGCATTTCGGCAACAATCCTCCACCAGGGCCTGCAGGTACGCAGGAGTCAAGTTCCTGCTGAGCCTCAGCATACATGAACCGCAGCAGTGAAGTCATCCATCTCACAGCCTCCTCAATAATGAGGGAGACAGGTACAGTACAGGACAGTAACAACACTGTAGCCACACGGACAGAAAAGGACCCACTGAATCGGACAGATGTGAAGTATGTGCAAAGCCCAACTGGAAAGGGGAAGGTTTTTCACTGTGTCACACTTTGTGTGATTAAACAGGGCCTGGAGTCTGTTTACGGTTTGTTTACACACGTGTTACACAACACTTTAGCGTGATACAAAACCTGGATGAGAATGTTAATCACTGCGGATATTTTTCCTTTCAATTTATAGGTTAATTTTAAGTCAGAGAAATCTCCTGGACCACCGCTGACTCTTTTTGTTGTGTATTAATTATTTATATAGTAATTAGCAGATTACTGACTCACTACGCAGCAACACAACAAAAATATAGCTCAAAAAAACATCTTCAATCACAAAACAAGCAGCAGACACTATGGCTTCCAATGGCACCATCCTATTTTGTGTGTTCATTGCATGAATTAAATAAATAAAAAAATAATTATCTGTCACGTTACTGTAGCTTTGCTTGTCAAAAGGAGTCACACATTTTCTATCTGCCAAGGCTTAAATGGGTAACTTCCCATAAATAACACAGTCCCATCTAATAATCTCCCTGAACACAAGTTTTCTAGAGGTCCCACTGGGGCAATTAATACAATTTTATACATCAATATTATTTAACGTGTTATGCAGTGGCATCTATCAGCTTAAGAATTAAGCTGACACTGCAGACAGAGATGTCCTGCGATACTGAGCAGGGCATGCAACCCTTAGGCCTTTTAAAGTCAGATTTGATAACATCATATCAGCCATATACACTGATGAAACAAAACATTAAGTCCACCCCCTGCCTATTCGTCCTTTGTATGTAGTACAACATCTCCTAGCTCTGCAGAAGCCTCTAAAGGTGCCCTGTGTTATCTGGCAACCAAGATGCAGATGCCGACCCAAGTCCTGTAAGTTGTGCTTTGTAAATGCCACAGGTTTGATTTGTTCCAGCACATCCTGCAACACTGTGCTGCCAATTTATGGGTTATCCTGCTCAGACTAAGACTAAGTCCTGTACTGTTTCGCCTTCATGAGATACAGAATATTACAAAACATACTATGAAAACAAGCTGTACTCTTACCCAATGATACATCTGCTCACACTGCTCACCACTGTTATAGCTGATCTAAGGTGGGAAAATTACATAACGAAATCAAAGGGAAAACCTGGGTGAGTAAAAAGTAGAGCTGGTGGCATCCAATATCAGAAAGTAATCTCAGCAGAATCTCCAGATTCAACGCACAACGATTTCTCACACAGCTATGACGCTAGCTAGTTTTTTTTCTGCCTTATTAAGAGTCTTTGCAGTATTTTTCTTGTTTACGTTGGCTAAACAGCCCCCTACCAACAAGAAAGAAAAAAGCTGTGCTATTTTTGGCCCTCTCCACTGCTCACTGTTTTTATGTGCGTATGTGTATGCATCCCATCTGCCCTCCACAAAGCAGTCAAACTATGTGAAACACTTGATCCCAGATTAGTTCTGCTAAACCCAGTTAGCCAGGAGACCATTTACCAATTAAATCAGCAAGGCAGAGAACTCCACTGCCTTAAAAGAAACTGATCAAAAACACAATTCTCAAGATTTGAGTTGTTAATGAGCTCTACATATTGATGTACTGATATGATAATGTGGTACAACACATACAATTCTTATTTAATGCATGGATCCTACTGTAACTGTGTGCTTTAGATTTACTAGCATATTTGAGAGTCACTGAGAGAGAAAAATTAGATCTTCATCAATTTATTGCGTGATAAAGAGTAAACTGTGTGGAGCTGAGAGCGCTAAAGTCAGTGGACAGGACAGAGTGATGAATGAGGAAACAAGGTCACAGAGCTGCAAAGATGAATGTGTTGAGACCTATGCCAACTGAGCAGAACTATTAATACAACCTCATCTGTGGCTTCAACTTCAAAAGAAAGCACACACTGAATGCCACCAGCTTGCACTGGCTGCAGGTGGTTTTTCTCCTCCATTCAAGTCTACGTGACAATTGGAGGGAGGAAGGGGGGGCTTAAGGGCACTCATTACGCTCATTTGCAACTGCATATTTTTATTCATGGATCCCACTAGTCTACTAGTGTAAATTTGCATGACTCACACTTGTAACTACGTGTATTCATTAAGGTAGCGTTATCCACCTTCAATAATACGCACTGTCTGGGCCCAACTATTACTGCTACTGCTGAGAGACACAAAATGAACTGTAACAGTAAAAACAACAAAGAATAACAAATGCTTTAACCTACCATGTATGTTGGTCATAAGTGGACCTTTTTTAAAAAATAAAAAAAAACTCTTACCGTAACTCATTCATTTCCCTTTCTATACATGTAAAATGGCTCTCCCTCATCTACTTCACCACCAGGTGAGACATGTGGAGATAACCTTGTCATCTGCAAATACAATTGGAGGATGAGGATGGTGCAAGGTAGCCAACCCTTTGTTTGCGTAGCAATTGTGTGCAAGAAACATCTAAGTCAAAACTGTCATATGCAGAGATGCTAACATAGCAAACTATCGCAAACCTGAGCAACCTTATCTAATTCAGGGTTCCTAGATCTCACAGGGTGAGAGTCAGGATAAACCCTGGACGGGTTGCCAGCCTGTTGCAGGCCCAACAGATACAGAGAAGCATTCACCCTCATACATACGGCCAATTTAGAATCATCAGTCAACCCATATCTTTGGAGGAAGCTAGAGTACCTGGAGAGAACCCATAACCTGTTATGCAGCACTGTTAACCATTGCACCACAGTGGT